TAGATCCGTAATTTAGACGGCGATGAAACACATACACACCAATTTTCTACATACAAACGAAGCAATATACTTCAACATATTCTATTTGTAGAAGATTAAAAGATAAATGATTATATAAATTATATCCTAAAATGATTTATCTGATGTTGATAGAGATGCAAATGATAAAGGTATCTTTATTATTATGAGTGAAAGCATTTGTAAAACTAAACTCTGTCGAAGATTAGGAAATACATTAAGTATACTTTTATATAATAATTACAGTACTAAAAAATATTATTGACTATAATCACTCGTTCTCATTAAAGGTCATACACTATAAAGGGTAGAAGCGATAATTCTCTTTATATAAAATGAATTTACATTAAAAAAAAATTAATCTGGAAGAATAATAGTAGAAAACTAATAAGCTTGTTTATGAGTTATTGTGATCGACGAACAACGCGTACCCAAATACCATTTTTACTATTGACGATTTCTAGCTTTCCTAACTGAAGTGGAACCTAGAGATCAAACTAATGATAGAATGATAATACTAAGAAAATTGTCATTTACTTGTGTTTTTTCACATTTTTGAAATTCCACAACACGAAGTGCTTTGGCTATTCCAAGTTTAGCTTCTAATAATGCAAATCGCATTCCAATACAATTACTACAATCAATTCAATCTTCATATCAATTATGTAGATTCTTTTCTTACCGAGGTCCATCTCCAAATGGAAGATACGTCATTGGATGACGTTTAGCTTTCTCTGCTGGTAAAAACCTATCAAACAATATCAATGTACACCACAAGATGTAATGATTTTAAAAAGATTTCACCTTTCAGGTATGAATTTTTCTGGATCAGGCCAAACATTAGGATCATGATGAATAGGATAAACAGATACATTAATAATAGAACCTTTTGGTATATGATAATTACCAAGTTGATAATCACATGATGCAACACGATCAAATCTATTATAGAAAACATATATTTATCAATGAAGAGAAAGATCAATAGCGTACTAACCTGATACCTGGTGGATACATTCGAAGTGTTTCACTAATAACCATATCCAAATATGGAAGTTGATTGAGCTTCTCATGAGTAACTTCGTCCTAGATACAACTATTAAATATCATTATTCTCTAACATGAATCTAACTTACATCTCCAAGTTCTTGACAAATTTCCTCATAGACCTTTTCTTGAATGACTGGTTCTGTTGCCATGACATAGAAAAAGCATGACATTAATATACTTGTTGTTTCATAACCAGCAACCAAAAAGATAACAGCTTGACTAAATATTTCTTTATCATTCAAAGCTAAGATCAAACAGTAGATTAAGAGATAAATATAATTCATTTCTACTTTTTTTGAGTGTTCCCCATTGTTGTTGTGGTTGTTGTTCTTTTTTATCTGTTTGTTGATTTGTTTCATCCTCTTCATGATCGATCATCATTTGAATAAAATCATTTCGTCTTTCTAAACGTTGTCGACGTCTTGCTAATATTTGATTCACAAGATTAGTTGTATAATCAATAGCATCCTTGGGGAACATTGAATAACCTTTCTTTCCCAAATAACTGGCCAATCGTGGTGAAATAACTATTTTACAAATAAAGGAACAACAACAAAAAATAAGATTGGTTATTTTCGTTGAAAAATGCTTACAAAATATGAAGAGAAATATATTGGAGAAACCTCGATTGAAAAATTTTTTCAAATGATTAATTAAAGTGACATTTTCATTCTGCAAAGAATTTGTCTCAATTCCAAATAGACAAGAAGCAATATTATCAAGAGTATATTGACCATTTAGTCTATTATTATACAAGAACTAAACTTAAATTAATTACATCAAGCAAGAGATAGGCATACGCTTTGATATCAAATATTTCTTGTTTATCAGCATATTCAAGAAGACGTTTATAATACATATCACTAATTTCATTCATAAGACCATACATCTGAAGATGAAGATTATTAAAAATAAATCGTTTTAAACAAGTGATATTTACTGCTTTAAGTTTTGCTGTAGAGAATGTTGGTGAAATAATAGATCGAGCGTTTTTCCACTGTTCATCTTTCAATGCTAGGAGACCATGTTCAAGAGGACCTGATATACCTTCGAAAACCTATCAAGAAAAATGTTTATTAACAATGAAAAAAATAGAAAATGATTTTGATATCCTACTCTTCGATTGATAAACACATTTGAATCTTTGATGAGAACATTTCGAAGAAGATCTGGATCAGAGAGAAGAATATTTGGAGCTTTTCCTCCGACAATTCTAAAAGAAAAATGCAATTATTTAATGCAGAAATATTGATTGAGTCAAGCATACGACTAATTTTTATACAAAAGTCTCAAAAAACGAAAGTCCTCTTTACATTTATACAGAATAAGACAGAGTCTACGACATGGTCTACTATGTCTGTATGACTTTTCACTTACCCAATTATTTTGCCGTATTTATGAACAAGATCTATGTCATTTTTAATCAGGCCCTTAATAAAACGAACTTTGAACTGTAAATATAATAAGATTAAACAAGAAAGTTTATTACCTTGCGTATAATATTATAAGCCTCTCCAAGAAATGGAATAGGTGCTGGACCAGGCATTCCAAGACGACGAAATATATTATTCGTGCGCAAGTTGTAACTGAAATTTGGGTCATTAAATTTTTATTTCGAACTAATAAATGAGTTGCAAAGAGTACTCACGTATAATAAGCAAAGATGAGTATGAGTAAAACCAATAATGTCAATGTAATTGAATCACCAGTTAGAAAGTAAGTCATTTTTATGTTAGTTATCTATTATAAGAAAGCATAAAACGGACTTTTCTTCTGCCTATATAAAGGGTGTTTCATAAGTAACGATTCCATTTTTAAGGATTTTGCTCCATGAAAATGTGGTCGTTACTTATGAGACACCCTTTATATTCCTTCAATGTCAAAACAGTGTGTCATTGTTTTTGCATCATTTTTTGGCCACCTTTCTTTTTATGACGATATTTTTGATGACGTTGTGAGTTTTATGACTCACATCAATTCGGTTGGTTGAGATAAACATCATACACTTTCACGTACATACACTTTTTCGCCATTGCACAAAATTTATACACGTAATCTTTGTGACAGAAAAGATGGCGTTCATTATCTATCTATTTCAGACATTTTTATACAATTTACATTCGAAGAAAGCAAAAAAAAAAATACGAAATCAAAAATTTTTCTTCAATAGTTTTAATTTCAATGTGATATGATTCGATTCCTATCGTAACAGATAAAACATTTGACATAAAAAGACTGCAGATCGTCTAAAATAAAAACTTTAGAAAAATATATTATAAATTAAATAATATTAATTTGATTTTCACATATGAATAGATAATGACATTATCAACATTTATTATTAGAAAATAAAGACACTTAAGATTTTTATCATTAAAAAATCAAAGATAAACGTATTATTTATTTTTTCGAACTGGATAATTTAAGGCATCTCTTGTTATTTTCTAACAAAGCACGTTTTCTTCAGTTTCATGTCATATTTTCTTTTTAAGAAACAATGATAATATATTAACTTTCCTAATAAAAATTAATGAAAGTGTTTTTATCACTTTGATCCCAATTCTGAAAAATTATTGAATTTTTTCTCATAAAATACAAGCTAATCAATAATATTTCTAATTTCAACAAAATTTGTTTCATCAAACAAACATAAAATTATTCCCATGAGTAATTTTAAGAAGTCATTAAAGCTACTTTTCCAAAATCGTTAGAACCGTTTTCGTTTTAGGTTTTTGTTTCTCAATTATTTTGAGCAACATAATATTAACTGAACCATTGATATATTGCAGAGATAAAATCCACATATGCAAATATTTTTCAAGTCGCTCTTTGCTTTTTGTCTCCACAAAAACAAATTAACTTTTTCAACATCTTATGCAAATATATCTATATTCCACGTTCTGCACGATTAATGAGCTTAAAAACGAAAAGATCATCAGAATTTAAATGAAATAGCAACTTCTTCTTTCATTCTAAGCATAGATATCCATCCTTATTTGTAAAAAAAAAATTGTGTTCCATTTGAACATCGACCATCATCCACATTAAGAGAAAAGAATAAACTGATAGAAATAGCACGTGGACAAGTATATTAAGACAAGAAAAATGGTAATTATGTTTTTCGTCGACAGCATTTTCTTGACCACGGGGACAGGGGGGGGGCGCCTCGAACGTGAGGATGAGGGCAAAATGGATTGGGCTCATCATTCTTAACAACCCTGTAGAAGAATTGAAGGGTCCGCAAGAGTCTAGTGCGTCTCGCGAGCTTGTCGACGAAAGACATGCAATTCAGAAAAATTCTTCAATCTTGCTCCAAGGAAGAAGAAAATAAACGTCGAAAGAAAGATTCACTGTATAATAAGATAATAAAATAAAACGATTGAATACATGAGAATAGACGAAAACTCCTGATGCTTATTGTTGAAAATAATCTAGATCAGAAATCAACAATTCAGTTTAAAAAACTATCAATTCATTAAATAAATGACTTGAACTGAAACGTGTTAGGGCGTTAACGAATTTTGAGTTGAAATGAATTGAACTGAATTGAATTCGTTCACTTTGTAGTCGGGATTGTCTAAGTTTGAAATATCAACTATCACTTCTTTCAGGATTTGTTGTTTCCTCAGGGAAAAAAACAGCGAATCCATGCAGGATCCTGATCATATCTGTCAAGGATCTTGCGCTGAAACATCAAAGATTCTCTCTAGAGAAGCAAGGTCGAAACACGTCGTGGTTTGCTTGACTCACCCTCACTCTCCGATATTGTGTGCGAATAAGTTGTTTTTATTATAGAGTTTTATCGAAATATTTTTGTATTCTTACGTGGTGTTTGATAATAAAATGCTGACTGTTATTTGTTGTTTGATAAGAATAACATATCATACACTTTATTCATCTACATTTTTATTTAATTCTTCAAGCACATAAAGATGTTTGGAGCTTTATTTTTCAGTCTTTTATACTATATTGTTTATGCAGACAAATATTATACAATTAAACCGTATGGGGAGTAAGTGTAAACAAGTGAATAAAAGTGATATTTTCCAAAGAAAAGAAATTTTGTTATTTCAGTTCAAGTGTTTTTCCACACTATGGTAATTTTTCTGTCTTTGATACAAAGTTAAAAAGACTTTCTCTTATCGGTAATTTTATTTTTGATGTACATGATCGTTCAAGTGTGTACTATTTTATTGGTGGTCCTACAGCTGTGAATAGAAATTTAAATTATATTTATCTGCCTATTACTAGTGGTAATTCTTTCAAACGTCTTCTTTTAGTCGCTTATAATTATAAAAGAAAAACATATCATCAAAGTCGTTGGGTGTATAATGATGGTAATTTTGGTTTTCTTTTTTACGATCCATTAAGAAATCGACTTCTTGGTTTAAGAACTAATGCTACATTTACATATTATATTGAAGAATATGATATAGAAACATTAGACACTGTTAAACTATATACACAACAATATGTTGGAAAGTATGCTTTTATTAATGGAAGATGTACTGCGTTTGATTACAATAAAAATTGGATTATACAAGTACGAACTCGTTTTGACAATTCATCTTATAATTCTTATTGGATTAAAATGGATTTAAATTTAGTTGGTAAAAAAAAAGATATTGTTACTGATTTTCATCTTATGCCACATGCATATTATTTTGTTACGATGGCATATGATATTCAAAAGACAAAATTGATTCTTTGTACATGGCAGAATGGTTCAAGTCTGTTAGATATATACATGTTTCATTTAGATCCAAAGCAAAATGGAAAATTTCCTTATAGAAATCAACGTCTAAAATTATTATTGAAAACTAACGGAGAACAGGTTGAAACAGTTAGAGATGTATGGAATCCAGTCAAGAGAGAAGTACTTTATTTTATTCAAACTAATACTGGTGCAACACTCAAAATAAAAAGATATATGTTGAGAGTTCAATTCGATACACGAATAGTATTAGAAAAGACAATACTAACCGATAAACAGTTACCATTGCTTGATTCGTGGGAATATTTTTACTTATCTAAATTTTAAAATAAATGATTACTTTCTATAAATCATATGTCTTCGAAAGCGTTAACAAAAGACTTGAGAGTGTAAGGGTGTGAGTCAAAAGCTACACCGTGACACGTTTCGACCTTGTTTAAAGGTTCCATTGGACAGCTTAATTGGATATGGACTATATTTTAATGATCGTGAAGATCACGAATAAGAGATCCATACTCAATTTAATCTATGATTGGCATTGAAAAGGTTTCTGTATGATATCCGAAATTTTCTATTGACTATATCATTATTGTGAAGAAAGAAAATTAATTAAGAGAAATGGATTTTATTTTGTTTTAAATGTTTTACAATAAAAGGAAATATATGTATGAGAATGGCGATAAACTGATATGTTATGTAATAATTTTGAATTCGTAGTATTCGATTTTTAAAGTGAGTTTCTTGACAGAAATTTTGAATTATTTTGTAATTTATTTCCAGCGTGAAGTCGTCAAATCAGTATGAAAACTACTATTATAACCGAAATGATTATCTAGGTAGACATTGGAATCAAATTAGTGGGAGTTCTCTTATGTTTTTAAAATAGGACCGATTTTCTTCGTTTCCTTTGATCAGTAATGAAAATGACAAAGTTAATTGATTAGATCCATAAATGAATCCAATTATGTTGATAATCAATAGCAAATGAATTTGCTACGCTTAAATCATTATGATCAATAAATCATTGACGAAGATTTTTATTTCCGTCTGCTGATAAAAAACCTTCGATGAAGAGATAAATGAGTTCTTCTTTTCTCTACATATCGAGTGCTTGCACTAAAAACGAATCAATAAGAACTGTTGAATCCTCTACACGTAAAATCATAGACCGAAGATTTATAAATTGTTGAACAATAACACCTAATCATAGCGTATGAATGTTCTCTAATCGGAGAATTGCAAGACGTACGATTCGTTTTTGTAAAAATTGACATACTAATTCGTCGTCCATTATTTTCTTGTAACAATCGAAATCAAGTGATAAATCATTAACATTTGGAGCTGCATCAATTAAGATAGGATCCACGAGAAAATCGACCAAATTATGACTACCCTGTGAAACGTCAAAATTTTGATTTTGAAATAAAGAATACCATTCGAAAGCCCGTGAAAAGTTATGCTTAAATCCAAAGTTTTAGTTCTTTCTGAAATGTCTATCAAGAGTTATGAACTCATCTTTGAACACACCCACAGATACTACTTTGTAAAATTAAGTAAAATTTAGAAAATTCTTTTTCACACTTTATGACAACATATTATACTCTTGAGAAGTACTGCTTTTTAGTATCAAATAACTTATTTTGATCAGATCTATCAGATGCACTATCACAGAGAAAGAATTTCAAAAATAAATCATGATCTAATGTATCATTTTTCACGTGGAATACACACAAAAATGATCATTTTTTCATATAAATTTCTATACTTTTGGCCTATAGGTACACCAAGATAGTTGTCTTCCAAAAATCTTTTAGCATCAAACAAAAGCCCGTGAAAAACTGCATCTTTTCATATAGAAACTAATACGATCGCGCTTGGTATGAGTATTTAATTTTTCACCATGAGTATGGCACTATTCAGCTTTTTTTCCTATTTCCATCATTTTTCTTTGATTTTCATTGAGTTTTATCTTATTACCGTGACTGAAGATGTACATATGATTTCAAATTTGTTTTCAATGTTAAAGTATGAATCGATTGCTCTTATAAAAGATACTTTCTCATATCATTGACTCATTCTAAGACTCTAAATATCTCATGATTTGCAAGATAAATACTGACCACTCAATGAAAATATTCTCCTAGATAGTTCAGAAGAAATATTTTTATTTTTGAATTAATTTTATCTTATTGTTCTATTTTTTTCTGTCTTTTAGAGTGTGGGTGTTTGGGTGTGCACATGAGTATGGCTCTAGTGTAAACGAACACCCACACCCCGACTCAAGTCCGAGTCAAAATTTGGACTACCCTAGCCCTGATTCATTTAGAATGGAAGATTATTTTGTACAAACAAATGTGAAAATATTTCTCTTAGAGCCAAATTATTTCTTGTCTGAGAACATATTTTATTAGTTTCTACTAAAATAAAAAAGAAAAATGTTATTCTTACAAAAAAATGATTTTATTCGTGTTTCGATTATTCTTTAAATTATGGATAAATAACTGCAAGTTATAACAAAAGAATAATCGAATTATTTTTCTTCAAGTATAGGATAAATTAAAACATATTTTACTTTCATCAACTACTTTCTTTTATTGAAAAAATTTCTAACAAAAAATCGACATTTACAATAATAAAGGAAAATACTCATCAAAATGTTTTGATCGAACAAACGGCTTATCTATATGAAGTTCTTTTAATTTAGCACAATAAAGACGTGTTGCATCATTAGTAAAGTTGTTTGTTATCATTGCGAGTGATTCATATTGGATGCAGAGATCCAGTAAACAAGGTAAATGAGTGTTCGTATCAATGAGAAATTGCTCAGCATAATCAACATGTGCTTCAACAAGATTGAGAAGATTAAGATGAGGAAAATTAATTAATGTCGAACGATGTTGCTTCTCTTTTTGTGGTTCACCATTGCATATATTCAATTCTTTCAAAAAAGGAAAATCATGAGAAATAATTTTGAATAATTGATGTTCAAAAGGATATGTATCAGTCATTGTTAAGCACCAAACTTTAACAAACATCCCACCTTGAAAAGAATTGTTTAGATGAAGAAAAATTTCGAATTGATATGGAAGTGAATATATATGGCATTTCACTACAGCCTTTGGTAGTTTATAACCGGATCTCTTTGATGGCGTTCTTGGTTCAAAATGCACATATGAACCAACTTGTGCATATTCTTTTCCATTGAAACTATGTTGAATATCTTCATTTGATGGTACATCAATTTTATTATTCTTAATAAGAATACCTGTATTTATACTGAATATAAATTTGTTTAGATGTGACATATGAATAAGCACTTTATTATATAATTCAATACCACCAATAAAAGTTGAGTCAATCCTTATTACTGATAGAAATAATATTAATTCTTCAAGATTTATCATTCGACGAAGAAATGGAATAATATGTTTATCATAATCATGTGTATAATTAATTGAAGTCAATGAGAAGCATTTCAACTTAGGAAGTTTTCTCTATAAAGAAAATCATTTAATCTTTTTTCTCAAAACAATGTTTCAAATTTACCCATTTGGTTTTCTTTAATGGTTGATATCTGATTTTTTTCACATTAATAACTAGTTTTGATAAGTTATCCAACCTTCCATAAAGAAGATAAAGACAATCATCAAAAGTTGCAACATTTATTTTCAATTCAGTTAAAGTTGAAGATGTACAATTTGTTTTTGGTAGTTTATAAATAGAAATTGATGAATTTCGATAAGAAAACAATTGACAAAAATTCAAATTGATTAGTCGTTTACATAGACATAAAATTAATATAAATATATTTGATGAAATTTCAGACAATTCTGATATTTTATCATTTTGAATATCAATATTTAGATGTGTAATTTGTTGTGTAAGAAGATCACGAAGAATTGAATAATCTTTAGATAAAAATTCATTTCATTTATGAAAATCAAAAAGAAAAAACTAAGCATTAAAAATCTACCTATTAGATATTGAAAAAGTATTTCTTCTTTAAAATTAACAAGTGACAATGAATATAGCTGAGAATAATTAAAAGTAAGAATACGTTCTATTGAATGTTGTTCAATAGCAAGTTTTTTAATTTGATCATGAATTTTTGGTAAGATATTTTCATATATTCTTGAAAGAACTTGTTCATGTACTGAAAAAGTACGATCATAAAATGAATTCATTGTCATAACTGTAATATCAAAATTTTGAATATAAAGACGATCAAATATTAATTGAGCAAATCGTTCATTAACATTCATAAGTGAATAAAAAACATCAACAATATTCAGTTTATTGATAATAATAAATAATATTTCATTGGGTAAATCGAATGTATTTAGATGATTGTTATTCGAGATATTCATGTTTATGTCGCTATTCTCTTCATTCATATCAGTTTATATGTCTAAATTTTTCTCATTGTTGTTTGCGAGAACAATGAAGGATAAATATTGAGGTGATAATATTAGACTATGATGGATGGGTGATGACATTGTTCTTGCTGCCTAACATTTTTCATTATTGATTAGTGGTCTATTCATTAGATAGTTCTTCTGTGTGTCAAAATGTTTATGGATAGAAGACCTAAGGGCACTTATCATTTTGAGGGTTTTCATACATCACTAAGGTCTACTTTATGTACAGAGCTCAAAATCAAAAGCGATTAATCAGTTGAAAGCATTCCTTCGTGAGTCTCCTCAGAGCTCTTCTTACGAGAAGACATTTCTTAGCAATGTGCTGTTTTTTCTTGAAAAAAAAGGCAATTATTCTGTGCGTCCAATTTAAACAACTATAAAAAGTTTAACAAGGCGTATCCCTCGGGATCTTTCTTTTCAAATTACAATCCCTTCATATAATGGACGAGTTATGTACTCCTTGTATTTCCAAGAATACAGCAGTCGATAATAGCCAATTGTTAATCTGCATAAGTCGAGGTTATACTATGCAATGTGGTTTAGTGTTTCTTACTCGTTTTTATATCTTTTTGTAGGACTAAAGAGGCACTTTCGAGTAATAAGAGGCGTTTAAATAATAGGTACATGCGGGTGTGTGGGGTGTGGGTGTGGGTGTGGAGTATCTTTCCACTCACACCCACACCCTTTTGCGTTTTGTTCTAATGAGCATGAATGGGTTACAAGTGCGGTTTGTGTATTTTTGGCTTATATGCGTATTTTCCAATTCTTCTCCACTTCAGTAGAATTTCTAAGAAACCTTAAGAAACTTTAGAATCGTTGCAAATTTATAAACCATCTTTGGGTGTGGTGTGAATGTCAGCAATAAAGCAACGAATGCTTGCATCCATACCCACATTCGCGTAAGAAAGACAGCATAGAAGTTCAACTAACTCCGGCATAGTCGCGGAAAAAGTTATGCGTAATCATTCGTGTTCGTCTTTGATTACTTTCACTACTATATCCGATAACTCCTAACGGGTTATTATATGTATCGCTCAATAGATTTTAGAGAATTTATGAGTAAGCTCTTACAATAGCCTCTGATAAGTCAAGGATGCACCTCTGCAATAGCCCATGTTGAAATAAGAGTGTTCTACGCCGATAACCTATGATAGTTTATGGGTAGTTCTTTGGGATAACCGATGATCAATTATGTGTGCTATGAGTGAATATTGATAAATATTGGTCGACGTATTTCGCTGCTTCAATGGTTACTGTTTTAGACCAGTAAAGCGGTAATGTAGACCAGTTATTGATCGTCACCATGTCATCACTAAGTGTACATAGCTACTTTCCTTTGTTTAAACTTGAAAAACTTCAAGCGTGTATTTCTCAATTATACTGATTTATGTTGTATTTCAAATTATTTTATGGTAAAAAATTCGAATGAAAAAAGGAAAAATGAAGAATATATAACACAAAGATTTATGGGTATTTTTTTTAAATATGTCCTACCAGTATTCGTCGTCTTCAATTTTACATTACCAAGAAGATGAAAAACTAAAACTGAGTAAATATATTTGTTTACGCCACAAATGGCATCATTTGTAGAGTTGTTTTTCTTTCTTTTCTTTCAAAATAATTGCATTAAACCTGAAAATTTCTTTTTTTCTTACATGTCAACATTCGGGTGGGTGGATGTGGATGTATGTGGGTGTGGGTGTGGGTGTCGGTCACTTTATGCGCACCCGCGTGAACTTGACTCTTTGATATCATTTAATAACAATCGAATAAGATGTAATTTAATCGTTCAGAAACAATTCAAAATATATTTGTCTGAATTTTACTTCAGAAACATCATACGAGCCAAAATACAGACATTTTCATTCACAAAGTTTCAGGTGTTTTATAATTTTTTAAAGGGTTTTCACGTAAGAACAGTGACTGTACAAAGTTGGGTATTCGTGCTGTTCGGATAAATTATTAATACCAGTGTTTGTTTCAAATTCATCTGTCATCATTCGGATCTCATACAGGGACAAAATGAGATGCCAGGAGGTCTTTCGATCTTTCTGGTAGCCAAAGATTGATTTTCACAGCTGTGTCAATCTCGACTACGTAAGAATATGTTGCGAGGAAACAATCATAGTGAACATGAAATTCTACAATTTTCTAACAGAATTGTAAATATTCAATAAGCACATACTTATACGACCAGAATCGCTCACTATCAGTCTGTCAACATTTGTAAATTGGGTTGCTATACCTTCAGTTAATCGTTTCTACGCGTCTACATAGTAGTCAAAACTTATTTTTATTGAAAGTCATCATGAATAAACAAACAACACCGATAAATCTTCAAGCGATTTGCTTTAGCATGAAAAAATTGAAATGACGCTGCTGTTTTGTTTTCTTCTCCATACAAATATAAATTACGCACATATATCCATTTTATTTTCTCTCGCAATAGCTTCGGTTAATCAAAAACATTTTCAAACACTCAAGTGTTTTTTCATCATTTTCTTGTTCTCGGCAACGAAAGTAAAAAGTAAAAAGTTTCTCTTTCATAAAAGATTAAACTGTTCAGTTTTCATAGTTTGATACTTCTGACTAGGAATGCAACAAACTCAACTCTAGAATTGGATTTGACTGGATTTTGACTTGACTGGATTGTGTTGGATTTAGGTTTGACTAGATTTGACTATGTACATCTTTTATGAAGATTGCAGCTTTTTGATAACAAAATTCGCCAAAACCGGTCAAATCTTTGTGTCAATTAGATGTAGTTTTCTTTGCTCTATCCAATGTTGGCATCAGGTTTCGTCTAATCTTTCAAAGAGCTTCAAGATTTCACCCACTTTGATCAAAAACGTGAATAAAAGACAAGAACTTGCGTAAAAACCTGTCAAGCCTTGAAATTTTTTGAAAGATTAGACGAAATCTAATACCACCATTGGATAGAGCGAAGAAAACTGTATCTAATGGAGACAAAGACTTGACTGATTTTGGAGTGTTTTGTTACCGAAAAATTGCAATCTTCGCAAGAGTATGCGTAGTCAAATTCTGTTAAATCCAGGAATAGGATTTGACTGGATTTCGATTTGGTACATCCCTACTAATAGCGAGCGTCACAAAATAGCACAACACGGAAAAATTTTAATTGTTTTACAAAAGAGCAACATTCTACCTTTTTTTCATTGCCATTTGGGGAAAATATGAGAAAAAGTTTACGGGTGTCCGAATACTTTTTTAACTGACTGCAAAGGAAAGAATAGGAGCGCTAAGGCCACTTCTCACCCCTAAATATTTTTAAGAAATAATTATATTTAGTTTTATAAGACCGATATGGACTACAAATCTAGCACAGTCATTTACCTTGAAATTGCTTTCGCATTTTTGGCTCCACTGTCTTCTGCCCGTTCGAGGGTTCAAAAAGTGTTTTTTCAAAATTTATTTTTCAAAAGTACTTAGGATTATTAAGTCAAATACACTGATTACGAATATCCCTATCTCAAAGTTCAAATATGCAGTACTGAAAAATCAGACCATTTTTTCCTATATGTGGATTTGGACGCCCAAAACTGACTTTTTGACCCTACTTTTGCATATGATTTTCTCTAGGATGTCTAGAAAAGCATTTTCTAGGTTCGAAATTTCACGCCTTTTCCGAATCTGGATGAATAAAAATCACTCAAAATGCTCTGCTGCTCATGACAGCAAAATACAACCAGAATCTCGATATGATCAGTGTGGACATCCCACTTTTCAGAGCTGGGTGTGGGTGTGCGTGTTGTTGTAGATGTGATGTTGTTGTCCACACACACGCCCACCCACCCACACACTCACACCCACACCCACACCCCAAAAAAGGATTAATTTCTCTCCGAGATTCAGAGAGTGACAAAGAAATTAACAAAGAGAAAGGGGTAGCGAAGGCGCGAGAGAAAGAGAGAAAAGTGTATGTTTTTCTTCTGCAAGAAATATTGAAATCATTTTAAATTTTGCCTTCGACGACGACACATACTCGAACAAGGTTAGTCTGTTAAACAACAGAGCAAAGTTTTGCCATTTACTCTGACGGATATTCTAGCTCTCTCTATACCAAGACTCCACGGAATAAGTGAAACGTCATTCCATCCCTTTCAACTTACATTTTTCTAGGAAGCTCTGGTTTTTCAAAAAGTCTCACATTGGTATCTCGTGAGGTTATTTCGTCAAAAATTCCCAATTTCAAGATGTAGTGTGTAGATACGGGTGTCCCAGAATATTTGCAACATCCCGTATTTATTACATATTGCAACACCGACAAAATAAAAAATCTTCACTTTTTCTTTAAAAGATGCATGTGTGGATGTCGCTGTGGTAGTGACTGTGGGGTGTGCATGCGGGTGTGGTTGGGAGTGTGGATGAAAAGACATTTCACACCCACACCCGCACCCACAGCCACACACCCACGCCCACACCTACGTCCACACCCTCCCACACCCCACACCCACCCACACCCACACCCACACCCACACCCACACCCACACCCACACCCACACTCACACCCTCAAGATCGAAAAAAATCCAATGAAAAGATATTTTCAATCCCATCAAAAGATAGCCCATAATTGATAGTATCTATGGTAAAAGAATCTGTTATAGCTCTTATCGTTGTTGAGAAAATGCAAATTTACTGAAAAGTATTGCACTACAAAATACACCAAAAATGACCTACCTCTCAATAGTTGTGTCTACTATATCTCCAGAGTAGCTCATCCATTTGAGCTGACATTTTAGGTTTCTTCTTAAATATGTTAGGCCTACCTACTGTGAAAATATCAGCCAAATCGGTGAGATCGATTGCGCAAGGTCGGTTGTGGCTTACGTGCAATGCCTCTTAGAGGAAATTCAAAAACAAGAATTTCAACCTGGAACTAGTTACTATTAATAATATAGATAAGTGAATAATTTGGAGAGAGTCCAGAAACAGCAGTTCTACGAGAAAGAGCTGGGGCACTCCACAGACGAGCATTACTTGTTAATATAGAAGTTTTTTTAGTATGAACAATATTTTGCTTCCATTGTCTTAGCAACGTGTTAACCCTGAGTTGGACAATCCATGAGAAAAAGCTAATAGGAAAGAGCAGTTAATAAAAAAGTTTTCTGTATAAAAAAGCTCGTCTTGAGGTCACTTTAATGCTCCTTTGCAGCGTACTGTGAAGAAACTTGTTAGATTTTCTTTGCGAAAATATTTGTTCCAAGGATTACAGGATCTAACTAATGCAGTGCACATCCAAACGTGTCACACATGACGAGATCTTTCTGAAATAAGAACATCTTCGGTAAAAATCCACTGCCCATTAGTTAATACTTCGTTTCGTCTGTGCACTTTCTTCTAGAAATTTTGACATGTTCTTATCATGGAAGATCTCATTCATAATTTGAAAAAATATATCTCCGAGTATTTGCAATGATGCGTTTTTTATGAAATACCCCTCCTGTGTATGAGAACATATGCCTTTTCGCATAAATATGCCTCGTTGCTTTTCGAAACAGACACAAAAGATTCTAAAATCATTCTCAACATTTATTCAATCGCTCTTTTTTCTGTAAATTGTTTCTTTGTAGACAATCATATTCATTCAAATTAGCTAGAAACTAATAACTAAGCTGGTGGTACATTCCACTTTAAACCAATTCTATTTATACCAGCCAATCCTCAACATAAGCAACTAACTTAAATAACCTTGACTGAATAGGATTTAATTTTCTTTCTTTAAGTTATTTATACTCCCAGATAAAAGTCTTTCCCCCTCTTTGTTTCTATGCTATCATACTTTGCATCAAATTTATGACCAAATAAAGATATAACATAAGAGATTTATTTCAGTGTAATCTATACTATATTGAAATAAAACTCTTATGTCATATCTTTACTCGGCAATAAATTTGATGCAAAATATGATAGTATAAAAATAAAGAAGGGGAAAGACTTTTGTTCGAGAGTGTAGTTATATAGAACATAACTGTCACCAGTGATAGATCGTATTCTTTAGAACAAATAGTGTCATTATAATCGCACAAAAATTTTTTAATGTTCTGTATATTGTTTTAAGAACACTCTTTTAACCAACGATTGTTTTCGTTTTTTTTTCATTAAAACATTATCCACTTCTTTTCCATTGTACGAGCGCGAGGTAAGCAAAATAAACTCGTGTACTAACGATGTATTGGGCGAAAAAAGGTTGAAATTAGAATTTGTCGTTGAGATCACGAAAAAAATTCGACTTTTTTTGAGGGACATAATAGAAGGCCCCTTGTAACTTGTGAATGATAAGACACAATAGAGGATCCCGAGTCTTCTAATGTATCGAGAGCTTTACTACATAGCTATGTAACAATTGGGGTGGAATCTCAAAGAATCACCCTCGGAGACTTACTGAAAAATACAAAAAAATGAGCCCTATTCCACAGGAAACGTACCCAAATTTGCTTAGAAGTTACTTGAAGAGTTTCATCAAATCAGATAAATTCCTCGTAGCGTAAATCAGCATACGATATTCTATCATTCTCCATTAAAATATCCTTTCAAAATGAAAAAAATTTTTTCAAAAACTTTCCGTAGGGGAGGCGACGCGGATTTTATAGAAAAAGATTCTCCATCAAAAGACCTCGAGTGGGTACAAGAATTTTTCTTCGAAAAATTTGTTTCGTTTCGAAAGGATATTCTCTTTCTCGTGGAGAAGAGTCTAGCAAACATAAATTGTCTGATTGCCTGTATGTCCGCACTTCAGTGATTGGTCCGAGAATAAGATGAAAATAAAAGGGATTATTTTCCATAAAACTTGACCAAAGGGTAATCGAGGGTGGGGAGTTCAAATCTGGAATTAGTTTTAATTAATTATTAACCAATTATTAATTAATCATTAACTAATTATTAATTATTGATATTTTCTATAAAACTTCACCAAAGGTAGTTGGGGGTAAGAAATTCAAATCCGAGGTCAGTTTTAATTAATTAAATATTAATCAATAGTTATTAATTTTTTCAAAAAATTGACCAAAGGTAATCGAGGGTGGACAATCCGAATCCGAGGTCGGTTTTAATTATTAACGTATTATTACTTATTTATTCATTATTTATATTTTCGACATAATTTGACCGAAGGCGATCGAAGGTGGAAAACCCAAATCTAGGACCTGTTTTAATTATTAATCATTAATACTTTTTACAACGCTCGAAATGGGGAAATTGAGGGTCAGGAACCTGAATCCGAAGTCTGTGTTGATTTTTTTCTAAGTACTACTATTATTAGTGTCTTTTCCTAGAAAACTTGATCAAAGATTTTTCAAATAAAAAACGAGAATCTATGATGAGTTTGTGTTAATAAGCTAGTAATGCTAAGGAGTAGTAAAACATACTAATATCATCATAGTTTAGGAAAAAACTTCACTAGAGGAAATTCAAAAACAAGAATTTCATTCTGGAACTAGTTACTATTAGTAATATAGATAAGCGAATAATTTGGGGGAGTCCAGAAACAACACTTCTACGAGAAAGAGCTGAGCGAGTCCACAGACGAGCGTTACTTGTTTTTTTTTGTAAGTAGTAAGAGAATCAAAGCAAACTTTCTGCGCAAAAAAATACTTTACGCACCACAGAAAAGGTGTTGCCTGTCTTGAAAAACGCGAAAGAAACACAAATACGTTACTATTTAATTTAATGTTGTGCGATACTTTTCCTAAAATTAAAAAGGTTGCTTTGTTTTTGGTTGAAAAAAGCCAAAGAGGATCACATTAGTTTTCTTTTCGTGTGCAATGAAAGGGAAGACAACAAAATGTTTATACAGGCAAACAAAGTATTTCATGTCATTTCTCCTTTACAATAACTCAATTATCTATAAACATTACAATTAGTAAACATGAAACCATTATCTTATATATATATGCTTCCCAATTGTACAATCGTTGGATCAATGATTATTAAACAAAAGCAAGAGAGATTTGCCTCCTTGTATTCCTGTTCAGTACCGAGCTTAACTACTTTATTGCCTCTGCTTTCAACTTGAATTTATTAGTATAAGATTTTGACATATAATAAAAGTATTTCGGTAAGAAAGAAAAAGGATATAGATATTAATTGAGAAGATTCGTACTCATCTTCTTTCTGGCATGTATAGATATTATATCTATAAAAGAAAAGAATTATTAATTAACTTTTTATGTGTTAAACGGCTTGTCTATGTAACGCTAGTGGCAGTGTAACAGCGTTACGTTTTTGCTCATTTTGTTTTGACCATAATCCTGAAAGAACAAGTCGTAGAGAGGCGAGCGACGCCTTTGATTGAAGAGAAATGTTTTTTGAAGATCTTGAAATCTGTCCGAACTCATAAAAATGTGTCTCCGAAAATCTATCACTGAAATACTGACACCCCCTTTTTCAATGGATTTTTCAAAAGTAGGTGTTAGCATTTCAGTGATAGGTTTTTGAGGAAATACTTTTATAAGCTTAGGTAGATCTCAAAATCTTCAAAACAAATTTCTCTTCAATTTAAGACGTCGCTCGCCTCTCTATGACTTCTCCTTTCGAAGTTATGATCAAAACAAAATGAGCAAAAACGTAACGCTGTTACGGAGTTACGTGGACAAGCCGCAAAACATTTAGATTTATGAAGACTATTTTCAGATAAATTTATTCCATGAAAGAAAATTATGCTGTTGTTTTACTCGACACCGGTTATCAGGTACGGAGGTCCATATTTAAACTTTTCAAAAATGTCAAAATGTTTGAAGCATTCGATGATATTAATACTTGTATTGATTACATGACAGATGCTGTACAATACAAAATATGTCTTATTATTACTGAAGGCGATGCAGAATTGATCATACCGGTACTCGTAGATTTCATACAAATTGATTCAATATTTATTCTTTGCTTGGATGAGTCAACAACTGATCGATCGATTGAAAATTATCCGAAAGTAAAAGGTGTGTTTAACAATATTCGAGTGATCATTCAGTATATTGAAGAAACACACTGTGACACAAGTAGCACAATTGGTTTCGATGTTGTTGGTAAATCGATTGCTTTATTACCGGGTGATCCTACTCAAGCAAACAAGCAAGAAGTAATGTTTATGTATGGTCAATTGATAAAAGAAATTTTAACTCGATTACCTTATTCAAAGATTGATATAGATCATATGTTTGAATATTTTTTTGTTAAGTATATTAATGAACCATCTAGAATCGAAAAATTTGTTGAATTTGAACGAGATTATAGACAAAATACGCCTGTTTGGTGGTATACAAAAGATTTTCTTTACAGCATACTAAATACAGCATTACGTACACATAATATATCCATGTTATATCCGATGCGTGTGTTTATTCGTGATCTTCATCAACAACTTATTCAACTTCATTCGAATTTACTCAACACCGGCATAATGAAACTCTATCGAGGTCAGCTAATTCCAATAGAAGAATTTGAAAAGATTAGAAAAAATCCAGGTGGATTATTATCAATCAATAGTTTTTTATCAACTAGTCGTAATAAAGATCTTGCTGAGATTTTTGCTGGTATCTCGAATAACGATCCAAATATGACATCAGTGCTATTAGAAATCACTGTCGATACATCGGTGCCAACGACTACACCGTTTGCTAGTATTGGAGCATTAAGTAACTTTGGTGAGGGCGAAGATGAATATCTTTTTACGATGGATAGTGTCTTTCGCATTAATTCTATTGAGAAATGTAATGCAAATATAGATTGGTGTGTGAGACTTACATTAACAAATGATAATGATCCAGATTTATTTCGTCTTACGAATTCCATCAGATCTTTAGTAATAACAAAAGACATTAGTCATGGTGATATTTGTAGTCTTGCTATGTTAATGATGATCATGGACGAAACTGAATTAGCCATAGAAATTTTAGAAACAGTACTCAACGAACAAATCGATCCAGTCGAACGTTTTAAAATTTATGTTTCTTTAGGTACTTTATATACGGCTTTGAAAGATAGTCAACAAGCACTCCTAAATTATAAAAAAGCAGTGAATAGTTACGTTCTTCGTTTTTTGCCAATGAACGTTCTAGCTGATATCTATTATGGACTAAGTGAACTATGTATGTTGCAAAAAAAATTTCAACTCGCTCTTATTAATGTCGAAATAGCACTTGGTGTTGAGCTACTTCGTTGTCCGAAACCGTATGGAGAAAGGCTTGCACATATCTACCATGTGATAGGTCGGATTTACGAAAATTTAGACAAAAAAAATGAAAGTCTTACTTATTATCAACTGGCGATCAAATATGCCACGAAACATTTTCCACGTCATCATCCATTCATTGCAATATGCATGATGAGTCAAGCTGCTCTTCTGTATCGTGAAAATCAACTCGGACAGGTGGTATCTAATATACAAGAAAGTGGACGTATACTAGCGAATTCATTGTCAACGCAACATGAATTACAAACATATGTTCACATGACTGATGCTCAAAATTTCTGTGAGAAACATGATTGGAACAATGCTTTGGCAAGTTATCAAAAAGCATTAAGATTGTCTCATTTGCAAGTATCATCAAGTCACACAAGCAACTGTCCTATTCTTTGTGGAATGGCTTCAGTATACACTCGATTGGGCCGATATAATGAAGCATTATCTACTTTACAACAATCTTTAGAGATTTTAACAACTGCTAATTTAATGATTTGTCCTCATTTGACTTTGACTTATTCACTAATAGGTGAAGTTTTCGAGGCTCAGAGAGATCCTTCTGCATTATCTTACTATCGACAAGCATGGGATATCGGCCTGAAATGTTTACCTCCAACAGATCTTATCATGGTTCAACTACGACAAGCACTATCTCGATTGCAACATTAACATGACTTTTTTTCAAAAGATGAAGATTTTCACATACAGTAAAAGACGAAAATTTAAACGAAAATGTATTTTTGATTTTTTCTATAATAACAAACATCTAACTGAAATCCAAATAGTGATTCTGATAGTCAATGAAGAACTCTATTAAATACATCCTATACCAAAATTTCATAGATGATTTAAGGTAGCAAGGTTTCTAGAAAACCAAAAACCATATTTTTCAGGTCTCAGAAGACTTTGCAATAATTCGTTTTTAACAGTACTAACTTAAAGAACACAAAATTTTGAATAAAATGAAGGGTCGCCGTCTTTTCTATGGCCTTCCTTTCAAAAGTTATAAGCATTACAAAAACTGGAAAAAA